CGCAGGCACAGCGGGGGTGATGATCTCCCTGAGCCGTATCCTCACCAAGCTGCTGCTCCCTGACGAGCGGGCCAGCACGCTCATCTTCTTCCTGGTCTCGGTGGGTCTGGAGCTGCTGTGTTTTCTGCTGCACCTGCTGGTGCGCCGCAGCCGTTTTGTGCTCTACTACACCACGCGGCCACGTGACAGCCGCCCAAACCGGGGCGGCTACCGCGTGCACCATGATGTCGCCGCCGGGGACATCCACTTCGTAAGTGCATGCTGGGAGTTGGGTGGCCTAGCCTGACCTTCCCTGAGCTGCGTGGGTTTCCCACGACAGGCTCTGCCGAGTTCCTCACTGGCCTCTGTCTTGTTTCTGGGATCTCAGACCCTCTCGTTCCCTAGACTTGTTTCCACCTTCCCTGATAGAAAAGATGGTCTGTGGCCCTCCCACCAGCTGTGGCACCCCACATCTGTGGTCTGAGATCACATCTCACCTACCCTACACAAAACTCCTTGTTGGGACAACAGGAGGTGGAGACTCTTTTCTGCCCACTCAGCCACTCTGCTCTAACCTGGAGGAGACAGGAGAGAAACCAAAGTTCCCTGTCTCCTTGGGCTCCAGCTATGGACAGGGAGAAGAGCTCAGGGATGTGGCAGAATCCCTTAGAGTCCCATGAAGAGGAACCCCAGATCCAACCAGGAAGCATGGGTTCAAAGGAAAACAGAAGACAGCGCTTCCCTCCATCACAGCACCTCTCCCCGGTGCCCCCGCACAGCTAGCCCCATGGTGGCCTTAATACCACTAGATGAGCAGAAGCCTGCTAAGTAAGCTAGTTTGCTCTCCTGGGGAGCTTAGATGCCCTCTGGTGGCCACAGTGCTGCATAACCATCTAGGGCTCAGGGCTGACAGCTTCAAGCCAGGTGGAGGGAACAGGGCAGGTGGACATTGGCCACTGGGTACCTCAGTTTCAACAAAATTGAACTAGGATGGTCACGCAAGGGCTTTGCTGCAGAAGTCTGAGTTATCTTGATAAGTGCATACAGCAGGTGCTAACCTAATGTCCACCCGAGTATGGCACTCTCTCCTGTTTGCCCTGGATACCCAACCCATGCCATCCTTCATCCCTTTCTATCCAGGAACACCAAGCCCCAGCCTTGGCCAGCAGCGGGTCCCCAAAGGACAGCCCAGCCCATGAGGTGACCAGCAGCGGGGCCTATATGCGTTTTGATGTGCCTCGGACACGAGTCAAACGGAATTGGCCCACCTTCAGAGGTGAGGGTGAGGCCCTGTGGGGTCCAACCACCCGGTTGACTTTTGCCCAGGCTGGAGGCGGCAGGGCCTTCATGGGCACTGCCCTCTGACCTGCCTCATTTCCCCAGCCCTGATGTTGCATCGCTATGTGGTGGCACGGGTCATTTGGGCTGACATGTTGTCCATTGCGGTGACCTACTTCATCACACTGTGCCTGTTTCCTGGCCTGGAATCTGAGATCCGCCACTGCGTGCTGGGCGAGTGGCTGCCCATCCTGGTCATGGCCGTGTTCAACCTGTCGGACTTTGTGGGCAAGGTGAGCCACCGGGTGGCTTTGGGAGTCCCGAGGAGGCTCAGGCCCCTCTAGAATAACCCCAAGCTGAGGGCACATGTGGGTTCCAGATGTGTGGAGGTGGCAGCTATGCAATGTCACAGATTCTAACACTGCCCCTTAGTGGGTGGCTCCTGCCTGATCCTGCATGATGCATCTCTAGCTGGGCCCAGCTCCCAATCCTCCTGCCTCATGCTTAACAGTGCATCCTTGGAGTCATTCTCTGAGGATGACACAGATGCAGGCTACCAGAGGGCCAGAAGTGGCTCAAAGGGGACAGAAGCTGGGCAGCAGGTCATCTACTACATGAGTAGATGGGATTGGCAGTCGCAGTTTGAGCTGGAGAAGGATCCCAGCCACCATGCAACTCAGAGATGAGCCACGTCTGTGGTAGGTGTTACTGCTGCTTCATGGGGTCTAGGGGATGGAACCCAGGGTCTTTTATTGGCTAGGTAAGTGCTCTACCACTGAACTACCCTGCCCCCAGCCCCTCACTGGGGGAGTCTAGGCAGGTGTTCTGCCACTGAGCCATACCCCAGCACCTCACTGGGGGATCCTAGGTAGGTGCTCTACCACTGAGCCATACCCTAGCCCCTACACTGGGGGATTCTGGGTCGGTGCTTTACCACTGAGCTATGCCCTCAGTCCCTCTCTAGAAGATTCCAGGCAGGTGCTATACTGCTGAGCCATGTTCTCAGCCCCTTACTGGGGGATTCTAGGCACTCTTAACTATTGAACTACAGCCCAACTTGGTCTTTTCTTAACAAAAGAAAAACCTGAAGCCAGAGAAGTGAAGTCATTTACCCAGAATAATACAGTTAAGATATCCAGAGGGAAGCAAGACAGTGGAAATGCAAGTTCAGTGTGGGCAACTTTGTGAGACCCTGTCTCAAAATAAAGTGAAAGAAAAGAAAGGCTAAAGAAGACATAGCTCGCCAGGAGAGCACCTGCCTAGAATCCCCCAGTGAGGGGCTGGGGTGTGGCTCAGTGGTAGAGTACCTCCCTAGAATCCCCCAGTGAGGGACTAGGGGTGTGGCTCAGTGGTAGAGCTTCCGCCTAGAATCCCCCAGTGAGGGGCTGGGGTGTGGCCTGTCAGTAGAGTCCTTGCCTAGCATGTGCTAGGCCTTCTCTTCCATCACCACTACTACAGAGTTCAATATATATAGTTGATCGGCCTTTTCGAGTAAGCTGAACAGAGCAGTGTCCTGTGTTTGAACTGGACAAAGCCAAGAATATCTGAGAACATGGTGTGGCCAGAGGGTGTGGTAGAGAGGCTGGCTGGAGGCCAGGTGGGTAACCCACACTCCCGGCTCCCTGCAGATCCTGGCGGCCCTGCCTGTGGACTGGCAGGGTACTCACCTGCTTGCCTGCTCGTGCCTGCGTGTGGTCTTCATCCCCCTCTTCATCTTGTGCGTCTACCCCAGCGGCATGCCCACCCTCCGCCACCCTGCCTGGCCCTGCGTCTTCTCACTGCTTATGGGCATCAGCAATGGCTACTTTGGCAGTGTACCCATGATCCTGGCAGCGGGTAAAGTGAGCCCCAAGCAGCGGGAACTGGCAGGTAAGACCCGCTGCATTGAGGGACTCCTGGGGCTTCCTCTCAACAACTTGATGCCCCTCTAGTGGGGACACTGAGGCCTGCAGAAACCAAGGGCAACCAGTGAGTGAGAAGATAACGTTTGGTTCCAAGGGTCAAATCACAGAGAAGTTGTAGCTGTGGGAACTCTCAGTCATTTCATTCACGCATTCTACTATTTGCGGGTGCCGGTATGCCAGGCACCCTCCTAGACAGTGGAGACATGATGCTGCCCACATTTGCAGTTACAGGGCCAAGATGGAGACAAGCCAAGAAACAAAAAGATAAGAAACAGATGTGATGGGTTACATGGAGATAAGTCCTAGGAATCTGTCAGTCTGAGAAGCGGGGGTACATGCAGGAATGGGAGGGAGTGCCATGTAAAAAGCAGTCTTGGAAGATGGCACTGAGGAGGTAGCATTTGAGCAAAAACCTGGAGGAAGTGATGAGGGAGTCAGTCACAGAAAGAAGTCATGGAGTAAAGGCCCCAAGGCAGGTGGTAGAAGGAAAGGCAGGGGAGGGAGAGGAAAGAGGGAAAACAAGTAGGCACCGCCTGGGGTACTCCAGTGGGACATCCCTAAAAGACCCTAAGATGGGTCAGCGGGTCCCCAAGAAGGCATGGTTATACAGGGTGTCACAGGTTATACAGGTGTCACCGCAGTGCACACCTGAGAAGCCATTTCCAGGGATTGTCTAGCTCAGTGTGACCTCAGCTCCCGTGGTTGCGTGACCTCAGCTCCCGTGGTTGCCCCTCACCTCCTGCTCAAGTCAGTCTTGTCCACAGGGAACACCATGACCGTGTCCTACATGTCAGGATTGACGCTGGGCTCTGCCGTGGCTTACTGCACCTACAGCCTCACACGAGATGCCCACAGCAGTTGCTTCCACACGGCTACTGCCAACGATTCCATCCCCATTGGCCCGTGACCCAGGCCCGCCTGGCCCTGCCCACCATCCAGGGAGGGCTGCTCGGGCCAGCCACCTCAAGGCCTGAGGACCCCTCCCACCCCTGCCTCAGTGCCTGTGGGGCCCTGGCCTCCTCCTAAGCCACTAACGCCACCTTGTCACCTCGGTCCAGCTGCCCACTGTAGTTGGAATATGTCTCCACCACCTCAGGCTCTGCCCACCTGTGTCCTGTGTTTGGTCAGACACCTGCCCTTCACTTTCCGTCTGTGTCCAGAGGTCCCAACATTAGCCACACTAACGTGGTGGGGTCAGTCAGACTCAACAGCCACCAGGATGGCAGACTGCACATCTGAGTGTCCTCCATCCCTGTGACCTGCTGTGGGGTCTTCTATATCGGTTTCATTATTTGGGGCAGAAGGTCCCTCCTCCTGGATATTAAAAATCTTAGAGGAGAGGGATGGTCCTAGCCTCATTCTGACCCCTCCCTGTTCTCAGATACTGCTTTGCCTCCCCCACCCTCACCCCCAAAGCATTGGAAAAATTAGTCCTGGCCTTACACAGGCCATAATAACAGAGGTCATGAGAGAGCTGACCTGGGTGCACCCGTCTCCGGTGGACATACCCATGCACCCCAGCCAAGGGCTGTGCCTGACAGTAGCCCTCGGCCCATCCATAGCAACCAGATAGCTGAGGTCTGTTCCTGACCTAGGCCTAGATTCCCCCATTCCAAACTGACCAGACACAGTTTGAGACTGGCAAGTAGCAGGGAGCTGGGGAGTGGGGGTAACTGAATGGCCATGTTGGCTCTGGGGCCTCCGGCAAAAGACAGCTTTCAAATAGGAAGGACATTTGCCTCCATATGCCCCAGACCCAGCTGTGACCACTGTGTACCAACACCTGCTCTGTCCTGTCCACCCATGTGTCCACTGACTACCGCACTGGCCATTAAAGATGGCAGACTGCCCACCGCTGTCCCTCAGGAGGTGTTTGTGGGAGGGGGACTGAGCTACTGGGAGTGGGATGAGGAGGTAAAGTGGTATCCTGGTGGGGCAAGCTCTCCCCATAGTACTAAGACCTCTGTGGTCCTGCCCTGGTGTTTCTAGATGTGGTGGGTCAGGTGCCTGTCCATGTGACGGGCACGCTGGGGCTTGTAACAGCCTTAGTGACCTTTGAACTCATAAGGATGGTGGGGTGGAGAGAGCAGCATTTGGCTCAGGGGGGTTGGAACACAAAGATGAGGGTGGGTTGGTCCCTGACCCAACCCCTAGGGGTAGGAGGCTCCAAAGCCTTTTAGGTGCAGGCCCAGCTCTGGTAGCAATTTGGAGATTGTGTGTGGGTTCTCACTGAATTTGCAGCTCAGTATTAAGGCTAGACTCACTGGCCAGTGAGCCCCCAGAATCCTCAATCACCATGCCCTGGTCATGCCCAGCTTTTTTAGCTGGGTGCTGGGAATTCAAACTCAGATCCTCAGGCTTACATAACAAATGCTTCTACCCACTGAGCAATCTCTCCAGCTCCACATTCTTTCACTTGGGTACCCAAGAAGTGGGATGGGGAAATGGATCTTGGAGGAGGGTCAATTAAATACCAGCCCTGTAGCCTTGAGTACCCAGCTGGCCCACCTCAGGAGTCACAACCACAGGGTAATGGTGATGTCACCGGCAGCAACCAGGTGGTGCCAGTGTTGTTCTTTCTGGGATGCTGCTTTGTGGTGCCCACCCAACCATGAAGCCTTTATGTTCGTTAACATGTCACCGCCATGTACTCTTCCACAACTGTGAAATAGAAAAGCCCAGAATGAGGTCTGCAGCCACTCATGGAGACCCATACTTGGGATTGGGCAGCAGCCAGTACTCCCCAACTCAGTCTCCCCAGACCCCCGAGATTGGAGGCCAGAACTGTCACACCTCCTTGACAAAGGTGTGTTACCACCCCACCCAGATGTGGGCTTGGGCCTACTTAGACCTTCGGCTGCAGGTTCTGGGCATTGGGTTCTTGAGGTTTCGGGGTAAATTTTTTGTGCTGTGTGTGTGTGTGTGTGTGTGTGTGTGTACATGTGGAGGGCAGAAGACATCCTCAAGTGTCCTTCAGTGACTGTCTACCCCTTTTTTGTTTATTTTGAGATAGGGCCTAACTATGTAGACCAGGCTGGCCTGAAACTCAGAGATCTACCTGCCTGCCTCTGCCTCCACAGTACTGGGCACCACAACGCCAGTTTTTTGTTTTGTTTAATTAACACATGTTCTGGGGATTGAAACTCGGGCAGGCACTTTACAGTTTTGTGTAGTTCCTCAGCTAAATTTGCTCAAATTTAGGTACCTACCTGTGGCCAGGGACTACAAGAGGGTCCAGTCTCTGGTCTCTCTCCACCTTGGTGTTCTAGAATAAGAACAAAGACGCTGAGCCCCCAGACAGACACTGATTACCATCCCAATCCTTCCTTGAAATGAACCACTCCAAGCCACGGTAT